TAAACCCTAACCTTAGAGACTTTGGAGCCTCCTTTAAGCGCGGCGTGCAGGGAACCGATCCGTTCCTCTGCTTCATGGAAGCCATGGGCTCGTCTGTCCTCCGAGGGCCAAACGCCTCTACCCATAGGCCCCATAGCAGNNCCTAATAGGATCCTATTAGGGAATCCCAAAAAGGAACTACTATGGGGCCCATGGGTAAAGCCCTTTTGGGTGCAGGAATTGTGGTAATTTTGTGTGGGAACCGTCAGATTCAGGAATCAGGGCTCCGTTTTGTAGTTTAGGGTTTCAGCTTCAGAGGTACCAGGACCATCCCCCTCTCAAGAGAGCGCCTATGGCCCAATTGTGGGTATTTAGGGTGCAGTAGAGGGTAGTTGGGGTCTGGGCGGGGTCGGGCATTTGGGGTGTAGGTGTTTTGCTTGGGGCTTCCGGGTCTCGTGACTTTTGTCTCGACTTTTGTGATCAGGTCCAAAGTTTAGGGTTTAGGGTTGGCACTCCAGCTTGTTCCCTAAACATCCCTTATCAGGTCCAAAGTTTAGGGTTTAGGGTTGGCACTCCAGCTTGTTCCCTAAACATCCCTTGAACTGAAAGCCATTGACAGCCTCATGCCGAAGCGCAGAACTCTCGGAGAGCTCCAAGCCCAGATAGCCCAGTTTCCCGCAAGCAAGTAAGAATATGTGTCTCACACTAGACAGGAGTCAACCCTAACCCCTAAGCCCTAATATATTTCACGCATATCGCTTGTTTCAGGTGGATCTCCGATGATTGCACCTACATCATCTCAGGGTAGAAAGATGTAAGCTTTAGTGCCCGCAAACCTGTGCATCCTAAAACCAAGCACCGTAATGCCCCACGCCTAAATCCCCAAATCGGTTTGGCGAAACTCAGCTTTTGGTCGTGGAGTTTACAGGATTTGGGGGGGGCGTTTCGACAGTTGTTCTGAGAACGCGGGTTTCTTTCACAGCGTGCCCCGAACCCAAACGCGAAGAGCCCGATAATTTACAAACCCTACGGTTGCAAATTGAGGGCACGGACTTGGTGAAGCTTGAGATGGTGCCGCTGCCAAGTCGACACGTCACGGGTCACTTTTCTGCACCTAGGGGGCTAGGTTAAAGGATCTACACCTGCGCTCGATTCCGTTGATTTGTTGGCATCATGTTGAGTTCTTATATGGGTAGTTCTCAAGATTAGGGTCCCTTTTAGGGTCCGTCTTATAAGGGTGCCGGTCTATATCGGAGACCTGAAAAGGGACCCTAATTTAGAGAACTACCCTTATAGTACCCTTACAGATCCCTTTAAGGATCCCTAAACCCTAAACCCTAAATCCTTAACCCTAAACCTTAAATCCTAAACCCTAAACCTTAAATCCTAAACCCTAAACCCTAAATCCCTTTACCTTTTGCGGTCCAGGTAACAGTTCGCACCACATTTTTTTGCCCTAAGCCATACCCTCGGGCCCCCGGAGCTCCCCTGGCCCCAAGGAGCGCTCCGTCCCTTAAAGTTAACGTAGGGGCCTTAATGATTACCTATACTATTTGGGGTTTAGGGTTTATAGGGTTTAGGGTTTAAGGTTTAGGGTTTAGGGTTTGGAGTTTAGGGTTTGGGGTTTAGGAGTATAGTATACCCCCAAAACCCTATTCTCACGATTAAGGCCCCTAACTTACCCATCCTGCCTCCTCGTAGCCGTGCTAAGAGTCAGGCGCATCCAATGAGCCCCAACCTCTTAGCCCTTCCTAACTAGGCCAACCTCCCCACCCCAATATATATATATATACACACACATGGATATACTGGCGCATGTGTGTGTGTGTGTGCGTTTATGTGTGTGTGTGTGTATAATTGTGCATTCAAGAAGTTCGTTTGGGTAGTGAGATTGTGCTTTGCAAGCCTTGTTTGTTTGAGGCGGTGGGTAGAGCAAATGAAAATCATGGCTATCTTTATCGCCTTGCATTCATGAACGTAGAGAGCCCAATGCCAGAGGAACGTATTACCGCGGCCTTGGGGATTTGAGCGGCAGTTGCAGTCTAGTGTAGACTCACTCTGTGCTACATTATTCGCTGTTTGGCTTAGGCACGGCCCCTCCCATTCCTGACATCTTGTGGTTCAGTATTGGAGAAGTCGTTCAGAATTTGTTTGCAGATGGCGGCCGTCTCGTCGTTTGATACATGTCCCTCCCATTCCACTTGATTATCTGGGCCGAAAGCGCGGTTCTGTTCTGGTTCCAAGTCAAGTGGGATTTGACTCAGGTCTGCAAGCCGTCGTATTCATCCTTAGTGGCACTTCTAGTGATTCTAGTAGGACCGTAGTACTTGTTTCACCCTCTCCTTTTCTTTGTACTCGTCCGAGAAGTAGCATCCGTAGTCCCTAAACCCAAAACCCTAAGCCCAAAACCCTAAACCCCTAAACCCTAAACCCTAAACCCTGAAACCCTGAAGCCCTAAAACCCTAAACCCTAGAACCCTAAAGAGGTTCCTGGTTCGGCCCCGACTTCCTCCTGCGCGGCTCCTTGGTTCAAATCCGCTTGCCTTCAGAGATATAGTCTTCAGTTCCCTTAAGGACGAAATGACCCTTAAAGTAGGGGCCCTATGCCCTTATACTATGATTCCCTATATGGTATATGAACCTGAAACTCTTTTAGGGTGCATTTTGTCATTAAGGTTTAGACTTTTAGTATTCACGCTTACGTAGATCCCCCAAAATAGATAGAATAATGGCCCAAGACCTAGAAAAGACTAGTATTCTACATACTTCTGGGGTCCAGGGTTTAGGGGTTTAGGGTTTAGGGTTTAGGGGTTTAGGGTTTAGGGGTTTCGGGTTTAGGGGTTTAGGGTTGGAATTTTAGGGCTGAGCAGGTATGAGCCATGCCCTCTTTAGGCCACTGGGGTTTGTGGTTTGGGGTGTGGCTGGTTACAAGCCCCCGAACATTCCCAATCAGTTTGAAGCACTAGAGGATAAGACAAAACCCCAAAACAAGACCTGGTGCCATCCTGCCTTTGAGACCCCCTCAACTGTAGGTCCTTCAAAACCTAGAGGATCTGTTCAGTCTTTCGCTAGGGGCCCACTTAACTATATACTAAGTTACTGGGTAATGGGTATTATGAGGTTTATATGATATATGGTTTAAGGGACAGCAACCAACTATGTAAGTAGCTGATCTCCAAGGGTTTGTTCCACTGTACCTCACAGGAGCAGTACGGTGAGGGTCGAGTTTGGACGGTTTACGGCTTGTCGTCGCAGGTACAATAGGGCGATTAGTAGGCCATCCATATCCATATCTCCATGAGTGGCGACCTGGTTAATTAGGCCCCCCCCCTTCTGAAAGGGCCTTAGTCTTAGGATCCTGATTCTACAACCATGGACCCCTAAACCCCTTAACCCTAAACCCTCAGACCCTAAACCCTCAAACCCTAAAGCCTCAACCCTAAACCCTCAAACCCTCCAACCCTGAACCCTAAAAGGCCGCAGTCAACTGCTTCCTTCCCTAGCCTGGAGCCTGGAGGATCGGATGCCACGCCGGCCAGTTGGTACACCGGCCCCGTACTCAACCACGAAGCAGAAGCTCGAGGTTCTCCAGTTACTTAAATAGCAGGCTACTAGCGATGTAACAGGGTCTAGGGTTTAGGGCTTCAGGTTTATAGGGTTCAGGGTTTCGGGTAATGTAATGTAGAACCAAGTAACCCATTATTTGGGTGACAAAAGAAGCAACACCCGAAGACATGAGAGGAAATCCTAAACCTTAAACCCAAAGCCCTATGCCCTAAAATGCCTAAACCCTAAGCCTTAAACCCTAAACCCTGAGCCCAGGAAAGGAGGACGAGGACCTTACCGATCCGAGCGAGCATCTAGGCGAATTAGCGTTTTTGGGTTAACTTCCCTTTGTTTTAGGGCTTAGCCTTTACCTGGACCCCAAAACTATGTAGAACCATAGCGTGTTGTGGGTTTTGGGCCATTAATTTTGCCTATTTTCGGTGTTTTGGTAGGTCCGAATTGGCCTTGTAAGGCGTTTGTCTTATATTGTAAGCCGCACCTCCTCCAACTACCAATTAATCCCTAGAATGTTCGAATTGGGGTTCGCGCTTGGGGTTTAGGGCCTTTGAGGGCAGAGGGCCTGAGGCTTGAGGACCTATACGGTTTAGAGCACTGTAAGGCTTGCAGTGGACTTCGGGCTCAAAGGGTTTAGGGTTTAGGGTTCAGGGTTTAGTTTAGGGTTTAGGGGTTCAGGGTTCAGGGTTCAGGGTTTAGGGTTTAGGGTTTAGGGTTTCCAGTGCTGATGCTTCAAGACTCTTATTGGGCAAAGTGCAGAGTTGCTGCTTTCGGCAATCACTGTCAGGATAGACTGCAGCGCGGTTATGGGGCTAAGAGCTCCTCGCAGTGGATGCTTAGGGTTTAGGGTTAGGGTTTAGGATTTAGGTTTAGGGTTTAGGGTTTAGGGTCCAGGGTTTAGGGGTTTAGTGTTTAGGGTTTAGGGTCCCCTTGAATGTAGCTCATATCTAGAGCGGCCGTTGTTGATTTTTCCTCGTGGCTAAAGCACTGTACCCTGACCATTCAACTCGGAACCCCCTAAGCCGAAGCCCTTACCTCTCAAACCCTGACTGAAGTGCCTACCCCTACACCCCGCAACTCACATCCGCATTCGCCTTCTCAACCCTAAGCCCTAAACCCTGAACCCTAAACCCTAAACCCTAAAAGCCTAAACCTAAACCCTAAACCTAAACCCTAAACCTAAACCCTAAACCCTAAACCCTAAACCCTAAACCTAAAACCTAAACCCGTTAAACCCCTATAAGCATCCCACAGCACCGGACCCAGAAAGCAAGGTTTCCCTTCGTGGTGCGATTCCTCGGGCTCTTGACGCTTGGCGTATTCTCGGGGAAGTGAAACATGAAAGCCGGTTCTGGGCCCATGCTTAAAAGGCTGCTTGCCCAATGGCCTAAGGGTGTGGAGGTTTAGGGTTTTGGGAGTGTGAGTGTCGAAAGATACTGAACCCTGCAAAACCCTAAACCGTAAACCCTAAACCCTAAACCCTAATGTGACGTTGGCCCAGGAATGTCACGGAAGGGCTTCCTCCGCGAATAGATCCGAACCAGCTGGATGCGCCGCTTGGCTTTGCGCCTTTCATTCGTGCGGCCATCGCCGTAAGGATGTTGCAAAATATGTTCGGGCCTGAATCGAGCTTGCTTTCGGGTTGAGCTGTATCCAAAAAGCCACAAGTAAGCCTTCATCCATGAATCGAAACACACCCCAAAGTAGAAGAACAAGTAGCAGTAGTAGCAGCAGGAGGAGGAGTTGTAGTTGTAGTTGTAGTTGTAGTTGTTGTTCTTGTTTTTGTTCTTGTTGTTGTTGTTGTTGTTGTTGTTGTTGTTGTTGTTGTTGTTGCAGATTGCTCTTTGGGTTACTTGGTCTGATGCACCAGCCGAAAGTTACGGCATGCCCAACTTTTTTTCGGCAAGCTCA